CCACTGGAATACAACTGCTATTTATAATAACCAAATACAGTTTGAGGTGTGAAAAAGAATTTAATTTACTACAGTGATTCTCTCATTTGTGCATCTTGTTAAGTTACAGGAAATGAAGGATATCCTTTAGTGTTTTTGACCACTAGTGGTGCTGTGGAGCAATGTTTGGACTGTTTTAAAGACACATCCCCCTCAAGTCACTTTGAGCAGTGCAACTGTGACAGTTTGTTTCCAACTTTTCCAGACCTGAAGGTGATCAAATGTGTTTTCTGGTTGTATATATCTGGTTACTCACTCATTGCTTGATCCCAGTAAGGTTTCAATGACGATGGGCAGCTCATATTTGACGATGTAGAGGTAGCTTGACATGGCTGTAAAGACAAAATTTGCTGTTAGTATATTTGCCTCTTGTTCTTGTAGGTAACTCCACAACAAAATAAGTCTTTGTTGAGGGGCAGAGTTCTTCCACGGAAAGGAAAAAAAGTTTGACACATGCTTGTAGAATGGCTCAAGTTTCTACTGGAGGCTACTCGACTACTCAAAACACACATCAGCCAACTTTTCTGTTTTTCTTTTTTTTTACTCTCTCTCAGTTTGGATACAGAGTGACAGTGTTTTAGCTTGTGGAATAAACTCATGGAGAATAAATACAGAATTATTATTAATTGTTTGCTGTCTCTCACCTCCGATGTTCTGCATGGTGATTGAGAAGGAAGCGGCGAGTTTCCCTGGCAACCCGAAGGCTTTGTAGCCAAGCTGCTCGTACACAAGTGCACCTTTGAGGAAGAGAGAAATTGACATTTAGCATTTGGAAATCCTAAAGACGTCATTGGGATGATTATTTACATGAAAGAGACAAACCTCCTTCATTGGCCGTCTTCAGCAGCAAGTGGACAGAATACAAGGAGAAGATGGCAACAGCCACGAGGAGAATCCTGTAAAAAGAGAAAGAGGATCTTAATCTGAATGTTGACACACAACCCACGATGCAAATGATGAGGAAACGGATCAATTCTGAAGTGCTGCGCTGTTTAATGTGCTAATCTTTAGAATGAGCGCGCCTGTTGAACAAGGCCATTTCAAAGACAAATGTATTTTCCTGACTGCGGTAAACAAACGCATTGACATTTAGCGTATGTGTTGTGGAGGTGGTCTTTTACCATTTTCTCTTGTAAGAATGACTCAAATCTTATCTCTTTCGGGAGGATCTGCCATGAAGACGAGATCATTTCGCAAATGATCCGCCACGGTGAAATCTGGAATTATATCTCATTTCATCGTCCTGATCAACAAAGACCTTGAGGGCATCACCACTTAGCACGTTGTTTGTCATGAGCATCATGGGCTGGGTTGTACAAAAGGACAAAGCGTCTCCCAGTAAGGGATCCTCTTAGCACCCTTGGGATGCTGCAGCGCAAGCACTGTGTCGCCAGGGTATTAATAGTCCAGGGGAAAATAATCTCCAGGTCATTTGAGACCTGTGTGGTAAAGACGCAGCACTTCCTCTTGGTATAACACAATCCAGGTGCTCTGAGCCTTTGGCTTTCCTACACGTGCCTGCCACTGACCTCATGATCGTTCATATCTTATCACTTTTTACACTGCGACTCCACAAATATATACTTTGGATGACCTTTTCCAGGAGTCAGTTTGTTCTGCAAGAGGCCCTGTTTTTGTAGATGTAATTGCTGATGTGAAGAGCATCAAACATTGTTTCGAAATGCAATCAGACACCTGTGTTCCTTTATTTCTCATGAAGCTTGATACGGATCTGATTCAGCAATATAGTAGCTGTTTGGTTCTTGTAATCCGCTCACTTTCTGCAGATGTTGGGCTCAGATCGGTCAGCTGCTGTCTGACAGTGAACCAGGCTCTGCTCCATTCATGAGCTCCTGCTAGCGTAAGTGATAGCTCCCTTTATGTAACTCTGGCCCAAATACAGTAGGATTAACTCGGCTAAGCTGCTTCTCCGGCCACCCCCTGTGTTTGCTAACTGACACACTACTGCCATTTGGTTGGCACCGGAAGTATCTTGTATTTTTACTACTCTGAGTACAAATACATATATCTGGCTCCTGAGTGCCTCAGATTGGATGTCAGAGAGAGTAAGCTGATTGGGGATCAGTGCTGTGAGGAGCTGCCTGACTGGTAGTAAAACCAAGGGTGTGTTTAGACTGTAGATTGCTTGTGTGTGCTTGAGGAAGAAGTTACATTTTCCCCCATGATATAAGGCTCCAGCCAATTTTAACTGGCATGATTATGATCCCAAATTGCACTAGACAACCAACAGAGGGAGCTCTCATAAAAACACAGCATTTTCCCAGTAGCAAACTTCTCCCATTACACTCTACAGTTTTATCTACAGCAAACCTGATAGTGAGTTCTAAAACTGCGCAGGTGATCATTTGTAGCCTTTCGATCCCTGTGTAATCTACGGCTCAGGGTTAAGCAGCTGCAGAACTGACACACGCACACACGCACACACTCAAACACGCTGCTGGCGGGAAAACACATCCTGTTGAGTTAGTACATCATGATCCACAACCTTGACACAATAGACAAATACAAACTTGCCTGTGCTCGCTTCCTGAGGTTTATTATGAAATGACTAAGCATCCATTTGTGTTAGAATTCTATTCCTGCATGATTAGTACAAGATCTGACTTTTTGATGCTTTTTATATGAACTTCTTTGTTTTCATCTCTAAAGCTCTGTTTTTAAAATGTATAAATACCTCAAAAAAACCTTGATAGCACTTTATATATAATAGAATAAAAACTTACACAAATAGAGCAATGCCAGTGTTGGCCATAGCGTAGGACAGACCCAGGATGCCACTGCCCATGATGGCATTGCCCAGGTTGAAAACGGACATGCCGAAGGAGGCGTTGCCCTGGTGCTGTAGAAAAATAAAAGATTTAATAGTTTTTAAAAAAAGTGAAAATTGTTTAAAAAAGAAAATTGAGTGGATAAGAGGAGCTCTTACATATTCAGTCTCATACTTCTTCTTCCCCACGTTGTGTTCAGGGAGGAACTTTTGACTCTCTGCGTCTATGTCAGGGCATTGGCTTTAAAAGGAAACAGAAAATGATTTAAAGACATGAAAATTAAAACCTTTTGTCCTGATATTTTCAGATGTGTGATGCGGCCTGCCCCTCACCTGCCCAGTGCGACCTTCTTGGTACAGTCCTGGTAAGTGCACTCATTGCTGTTGGAGCTGCTGTTGTCCTCCTCATGATACTGGTTCAGATAATCCATCTCAGTTCTGGCAGTTGAGTTTTTCATGCTGTGAGTCATCAGAGCAGAAGAGAAGGAACAAAAACACAATATTTATTTAGAATTCATTATTCATCTTTTACTCATTTCTGCTCCAGTGCGTCAGTGCATTCCCAACCCAGCCCGCTTGTGCCTGGCTGTGCGCGTTCACGCTACCCCTTAGAATAATCAATATTATGGCGAGGATGGATGCGCGCGCCTCGGGTCATGTGACTTCTCCTTTGAAGGAAGGGGAGGGGGAGGTGGGTGACGCACCGGCAGTGGAAAAATACCAGACCGGCATCCGTTTCCACCCGACACCACCTCAGCTACACACCAGACGCTGACTGACAAAATTTACGCAGTTAAAGTGCCGCAGAATTTGCGCGCAATTCCCAGCGGAAATAGAGGGAAAGTGTGAAATAAAATCTTTATTTTCCCTCACACATGACATCCTTGTCCTTCTTTTAATGAAGGAGAATGAAGCGGTAGGTGTTATTGTAGATCTGACATTCAATAATCGTAATAATAATAATTTGCGTTTGGTTGGCAATTGCACACATGCCCACCCACACAGAGCCCGAGAGGCGCAAACCCAGATCAGTTTAATGACATTATTCCCATGGCCGGCTCCGATGGAAACAATGGCACGTGTTGTCTCCTTATGGGCATGGCTCTCTCCATTTTGCGCAGAGACTTTGAGAGCGCACAGACCCATGCTTAGGTTATGATGATTTCAAATGAATACACACACGCAGACAAGATATAAAAACACAAAAAACACATGCTCCTTTTCTTTGTCATGTGTTTTGTCAGCCTGTCAGTGTGACAGTGACAGCCACCTCCAGACATGAGTCCAGCACTGCAGCACCACTGTCACACCAGACTCATTATTTATTAATCTGGACCAGGACTGACCTGGTTAGAAATAACGCCTCAGGCCACTCCAAATAAATAATATGTATATTTATTTTAAAGAAAAACACACCTAACATGTCAGCATATGGATTCAATGCTCACTAACCAGCCTGAACAATAATCAGCAGCATCTTCTGTTAATTTAATACGATTCGCAACACAAACCAAACATGAGGAAAATAAGTAAAATATAAAATCCTTCCTTCCATCCTAAAGCTCGCATTGGTGTTCCATTGCCATTGCCGCGTCCACCCTGTAATTACTGACCGTCTGTACATGATGAAGAGACACCGGCATTCTTACCTTTCAAAGATGTGGCAGGAGGCCTGCGAAATCCTTCCAGTGACAGAAAAAGAAGCAGAGACAGCAAATGTCCGGACGATTTTCTTCACGATACAAAAAACCTGCTGATCCTTTGGTGTATTTACGTTAAATAAGAACCCAAATGAAAACACGAATGAATGGATACAGGCCTGTTACCAGACAGAATGTGATTTGAAAACAAAACACGACAGGTTTAAGAAATAAGCGATAAGGGCGTCTTAGAATAAACCTGACCGATGCGTAAAAAGCAAAAGAATTTAGATTTATTCTCTAACCAAATTCCCAGAGATGCGATGCGTTCGGAAACAAGCCCTGGTTCTGCTGGAGGAGGGGTGGGGACTGAGCCTTTTTAAAGATGAGCATTGCATCAGCTCTGGGTGAGGAGGAGGAGTTTATCCATAGGAGGCTTTTTTCTCCCTCTTACGCTCCTCAGAGCCGTGGCTTTGTGTACAAACACAGCAGTGACCCAGAGACTGGAGAAACCGCAGGAATCCTGTAGTACGTTTTACAACACCTGCTCCACTGCCATGTCTCCATGACAGATCCATGATCATTAGAGACTATCATCACTTTTATATGCACACACTGAATACCGACTCAATCAGCTCATCCCACAGAGGTATGTCAGCATGTTGAGATCACCACAGAGCACCACCTGCCCTCTGTACTTGACTCAGCTACCTATGAGAGTAGGGATTTACTTTAGTCTAAATACAATTCATAAATACATAGAATAAAAAAGGCACAGAGGAAATGAGCTTAATTCAATACCTTTTATTATAATGTATTCTTCTTCTAGCCATCGATTTTATTATTTTTCTTGTGTAGCACTTTGTAACTTTGTTTAGATGAGCGCTATACAAATACAGTTATATTATTATTATTATTATTACTGTGGAGGCCTGTGAACTATATTGTCCCATATAACAGATATGAGTTCTTATATTGTTTGTGGTTATGACTCATTTAATACAGGGCAGACATTTGAAACCTTTGTTTTTTTCTTCGTATGTCAGATGTGGCTGTTTGAATTCATTTGAATCTAGAAGGATTTTTTTTGTCAATTATGTAAAAATGACTTTGGTCAGTTTCACTGCTTCCATTTCATGCATTGATCACCTACTATCAGCTTACTATATGTTTTCCCAAGACTTTTTAATTGTTTCAACAATTTAACCACTATTTTTAGCTATTTTTTATTACTTTTACCTAACTGTTATTCATTTATTTTAGCTATCAGAATGCTTTTACAATACTTGACTATAGGCTACTTTTAGCTACAACCAACCCCTCTAATTTAGCTATCTGTTTGAACCATTTAGCAACCTTAATTATTTCTAGTTAATGATTACAATAGCATATTTCTTACTTATATTTAATGTTTTTATCAAAAAACTTTGGCTAATTAGTCTTTGGTGTCTGGGCTTACCGAATAGTTTTAAATCAAATTTTATTTTCTAAAAATTACTTGAGCTACACAAACTTTCCATGTACCTCATGGTGGCTGCAGGAGTAGCCTATGTAGAATCAATTCTGTATTGGTAACATGTATAGCTTATTTGTTTCCAGCCGTTCTTTTCAAAAGAATTGCAGTAGAGACAGGTTAGTGGCTCCCTCGCTCCACAGATACTCTGCAGGTCAGGCTGAGATTTTTTATTTTCTCTTGGACATAAAGTGGCCTGGACACCTGTCAGTTCAGATCAGGGTTGGAACCCAGCTTCAAAGCAGACCTCCCTGTCTGAAGGAGATTACGCACAAACGCTGTCATGTGACAGTGGCCATCCTGATCCTCATTCATGGTGTTGGCTCATCTTGTTGGGTCAGGTTTGTGGGTGTGTGTGGGAGGGAAATATTCCACAGCTCCGGTTTCCAGTTTATTATTAATGCTGTGAAGACTTAGGGCTGTGATCTCTGTTAATTATTTGACTGGTTTATAGATCAACCTTTGAATTCAAAGCGCTGGCATATAGACTGTCCCACTGATGCAACTGTTGCTAATACTACAACTTAGTACTACTAGTATAACATACTGATAATGATTACAGCAATTCTTTTCACTATCTGACAACCACAATGGCCACTGTGACTGTTACTATACTATTATGTGAACTACGCCTCTCTTACCTGTATTTCTGTTCCTCTACTTTAACTGTTATTTATACTATTATTACGATTCCCTTTACTGCTACTGCTACTATTTTCTACGAAAACTATGAAGGTATCACCACTGCCACTAATACCAGTACTATTTCTTGTCCTGCACTACATTGAAGAATATTTTCTCCTTTTTCATTCATTAAGGAAGAAACAAAATAAAACTGGAAAAGCTGGTTTCTCTTAGGGAGTTTTATACATATATCGGTTTTAATTCAGGTGCAATGCACAGCACTTTGATTTTCTTTCCCTTTGTTCTTTAAAGATGCACAAACATTTGATTGCATTAAATCTTTTACTCTGATTGGGCAAGATGTCAGTCACTGAAAAGGAAAATAAAGTAGACACAGATAACCACACACCCAGAGAAATTCATATTTTGCAAGGCGACACATTCATAAGGAAAATGTTGCTAATTTTCTCACTCACTGTTCCTCATAATCTCTGTCACACACACACACACACACACACACACAGATTGTGCATTCCGCTGCCCTCAGTCACACATGAGTACGTTTGTGTCTCTCTCTCTCTCTGTGTATGAGCCTTTGTTTGGGGCTTTAGCTCGACCCAGCAGATCCAAGACGGATCAGTAAACTGGAGCGGGGGCAAGGGGTGCAAGAGGGGATATGGTGTGAGCACCGATGCCCTGTTACCCCCATCCACAAATACACACACACACAAAATCAATGTATGAAAAATTCGCTATGATGTGAGGGAGCCCACTAGAGGAAGATCTGGTCTTGGGTCCAGGGAGTAGTCCATGGTCAGACCTGCAGGTGAGGGTGTGGTCAGAAAGATCGACAAAGCAAAAAGAAGCTGAAATTGGCTAACACCAAAACTACTTCTCCCATTTGGGCCATTCTAATTCTATATTGGCTGACCCCTGGTGACCCCCCCCAGTAATACTGCTAACCGCGAGTCTGCCGCTGCTGTTCGAATAATGCTGACTTTGTCATGTGGCAGCTGTCACACTGAGAGCCAATTCTGAGAAGTTTAAGAAACAAGGCGTTCACTGTATCAGAGTCTGGATCTAAGCGATTTCACTGAGGCTCTGTACTGTGTAATGCATATATGAGCTGCCTCTGTCTACAACCCCACAACAATGCCACTCAGCAAACTCGTTTGGGTGTGTGCATGCATGTGTGTTGAAGCTTTGTTAAATATGGGGAAGTGTCTGTACACACCTATGAAGAGAGCAATGTCAATGTCAAGGTGTCCTTTTTTGCAGCCAATAAGAGACATCCTGTGCAACTACCATTAAAAACCACAGATTTCATGAGAAACAGGAAGATTAGATTTATCACAGAAATTGAAGGTTACATCTTGGAAATATGCTAATCATAGGCAACTATTAACTTTAATTAAAACTCTGGAGCAGGGACTCATTGTTGTAAGGGGTGAATGACTCTGGTTTCTGCAAAACTGCTCATGTGAGATAGTAGATATGCACTAGTGCATGGAACGCTGACTGTAAAGGCAATGACAGTTGATTTAACCTGGAAAGATAACATGTTGCTTAACTCTGTTGAAACAATGAGTTATTTGTAAGTGCACATGATTTGATTTTAAAGAAAGAATGATACTTTGTCAAGACAAAAAATATCCTTGTTTGCTTCCAGCCTGCTTCTAGCACAAGATTAATAACACTCTTATATCTACGTGATAAACATGGCACATTCCTCATATCTAATTATTTCAAATAAAAGCATCCCCCACCCCATACAACATACTTAAGTTCCTTTAAGTATTCACAATATAAAGTCATGTCCGAGTCAGCTTTGACTCTTTCTCAAACCAGAGAAACCAAACTGTACTTATGGCTGTAGTGTTACTGTGGGCCCCTGTAATTCACAAGTCATAGATGAATAGACCTGCCATGATAGACATTTGGAATTGTAGTGCAGCATTTTCACTCAGGAGGGAAGAAAAGAGAAAGTTCTTCTCCACAGAACAAGATCTGCAACTAGCCTGACCACTGTCTGGTTAGACCGGATGAGTGACTTGGTTTGTTTACAGACCCTGTTCTTTTGAGCTTCCTCGTTGGGGCTATGATTCTCTGTGGTTCAGCAATTGTATACACATTTACTCTCATATTATATTTGCATTTAGTATAATCTATTTTCATGAATACAAAATTTGAATAAACTGCAATGCCCAGTCGTGTCTGTTCCAAAAACTGGGTGAACTTTTTGCTTATTTCCATATTGGCCTACGTAGAGCCTGGCATGGTCCACATATATGGACACAGGTGCTTTCTCTATGCACTTTCTGATCAGTTCCGCTTTAGATGTGTATGTGTGTGTGTGTGTGTCTTACACCTTCATGTTTTTTAGAAATCTTTACAAGATTTTCATTAACTTTAACCCAGCTGGTTTTCACTGTACTCAGGGTATGCAACCGACCAATTACCAAACATAAATAAAACAGTCAAGGTTACCAGCTAACAACCAGTGAGGGCATCTTTAATTAGCGTTTTGGTGTAGATCAAACCAGAGCTCAAACCAGAGTGAATATTGGACTATATGCAAAACACACAATTAACAATGAAAGAGGAAACAGTGTTGTGAACATGTTATCCACATTTTAAACTTTCCAACATTCTTGCTTGGATGCAGGGAAGTTTACTTAAATCAGCTCTGTGTCAGTTTTCTCACTGGATGGGATCTGATCATCCCACACCTCATGGCCTCCTGTCCATGTCTTATGTAAGTCCACTGACCAAATGAATACCTCCCAGAACATCACATTTAACTGTGCCAGTCTCCCACCGAGCCCCCCTCCTGTGTCTAGTCCCCCCCCTCTCCTGGCTATTCCTATTAACTTTTCATTTTCCCTGACTTTAGACCATGGATTTTCTTGCTTCTCAAACTTACTCACCCCGTCCCCACTGTGCATATTCTTGGAACAGTTAACCTCAAAGGAGGATCCTTATTACAATATAGACGGACAACTTTTTCTTTTGTTTTCCCCCAGGAGGAGATCTCATGATCGGTTATTCTTTATTAGGAAAATAAAGGTTGTTGGGTTTTTCTCCACCGGCTCTAGGTGTGAACAAAAATTGAATGAAAAAATCTGCAGGGGTCAAATGTGTGAATGGTTACTGGGTTAGGGTCTTACAGTTTTTAGGCAATTTCATTTTTATTTCATTTTGTGTTCGT